TGATGACTATTCATGAAAAGGTAATTTCAAGTAGCCATTCTTGTAGTCGACAGCATTTTCCAGGTGAAAATTTAGAAGGGATTTGAGCAGCTGGGGAGTTGTATTTTAGTAATTTGAAGTGATCTACTAGTACTGAATGTGTCTAACTCCTTCAGGTGAAATACAATAAAACCAGAAAATTTTTCAATTAGTTATTTAATTTGTGAAATTAAAGAGTTGAAGCTTAACATCTGAAATTTCTTTTGAAACGTATTTACTCCTCTACCCTCCAAAATAATACTTTAGATGCAGAGTGAAAAGTTCCATCTGATGTAACTATTTCTTTAACCTTCTGGGGGAAGAGGAATGGGAAATCTCAGAAATTCACCTCAGTTTTTCTTCGCTATGAGCTTTTGCCAATAAATAACAAAACCCAATTATTTGCACAAACAGCTAAATACTAGGGTGAGGGGTTTTTTTCCTCTAATAGTAAAGATAAGTCTGAAATCTGCTTTTGAAACTCTGAGAAAGAAAAAGACAGGAACGAGTACAAAATTATTTCAGAAAATGTTCGAAACTGCAGCTTGTTTTGTTCTCTAACTCAAAAACAGATTATTGTTAGTTCACACTTCTCTCACGTGGTTTTGAGTTACATCCCAGCTTCTCCTGTGGTTACATCACGTTTACTCATAGCATCTAAAAATTACTGCAGGAATATTATGGAAGCCTGGTTTCTTCCATTCTAGTCAGACAGTAAAGGGTGGAAAACACCAGTCATGCCTTCTGCTGTGCCTCAATACAACGCCACAGGACCAGACCTGCATGGCTAAACTTCCAGGCTGAAGAACAAGGAGGATGTATGTCTCTGTCCTGTTAGGGACAGGACTCCTAAACACCCACCAACACATGGTTACATTTTCTGTGTAATTGCTGGACCACAACAGAAAGGGAATACATTTACAAGTTACCCATGGCCTGCGACATGGCAGCCTGGCTATTCAGGGGTTTATCTCATGCCACTGATCTCAACTGTAGTAGGGTCACCTGCATCTCTGAACTCTCAGTGCCCCCAGATATGTATCAAAATTACTGGCTAATATTGAAAATTCAAGTCTAGTTTCAATAAAAAGGATTAGAGAAGCAGTAGGTACACAGTAGGAATAACCTCTCATTGTTAAAGTACACCTACAGCTATATGCAGACTCTACACTTTTTGTCTCCTAAGAGTGGGAAATAATGCTGTAGATCACAGCAAGTAACACAACAAAGCTGCTATCAAGAAATGTCTGATTTTAATTGAAATGACACTCCACTACCCAACAGCTCCAGGCAGTGCCATCATAGCACATGCTGGGAGATGAGATGTAGGTGGGATCCCTGTCCTCACTGTGCACTAGGAGCTCTTCTGCAACGAGCCACATCCTGCCCCACACATCCTCTCCTGACCGTTAGGTATTTGCAGTGAGCCACTAACAGTTTCTCTCCAGGATGGGAAAGATGGTACAGTCTGTGTAATATTTCATTTCTGTTTCAAAAAAATGTCATTCTAGAAATCAGAGGGAAAATGACAGAGAGAGAGAGAGAGAGAGAGAGAGAGAAAATAAGAGGAGCCACTTGGAGCAGCTGGAATTGTTGGTTCATGCAAAACTCTGCAACTTCAAAATTTGTTCTCATTGTGATAGTTTAGGGCCTGCCGGAACCAGAGACCGCATCGCTGTTGTCCCTCCCTCACCCCCGGACCGAGTAGGGCACAAATCCCGGGGTTGAAATAAGGAGAAATTTAATACAACAGTGTAATAAACAATCTGAACAACAATAGCAATAATAGCAGCAATAAACAGTAATAACAGTAAACAAGACAAAAGATATACAGAAATACCTCAGTGAACACAGTCAGCCTGCCGCGCGTGCTTCCCTCGACCAAAGCCACAAAGGAAAGCTTCCCGCACTGCCGCGCCAGACCTGACATCAGCATGGTATGAATAACCCGCCTGGAGATCCCCTGCCCCTGCTTGGGAGAAACTTAACCCTATCCTAGCTGAACCAGGACACTCATGAACTGAAATGAAACAATGAATGACTATTTTCACATAAAAGCTTTTTTCTTTTATAAATTTCTCCCTTGGCCCATCAAAAACTTAAAAAAAAATAAAAGGAGGAAGAATATAATCAAGCAAAGTCTGAGGAAAAAATAGCTAGCAATAGAAATTATTAAAAAAAGTTGAAATATTACATTCAAAAAATGGTAAATTAAATGTCATAACACCACCAAAACCTTTTAACCTTTTCACTTCAAACAAGAATTGAAAAAACTATGAACTGATACTAAATGTATATTTTGATGAAATACCATTTTTATTGGAAAAGGACTCCATCAGAAAATGTTGAACCAGCTGTACGAAATTTACAGACTATTAAGAAGAAAAAACATTCTATTTTGTATTATTCATATTGAAAAATAAATTACATTTTACATATTAAGTTCTTGCATTCTTACATTATTTCTGTTTAAGTCTCCACTGATGTATAGCCAGCTTATTCTATGCCATAAAATATAGCAAGTTTGCTATTTAGTTATAAGTTAATAATTGGTTCAGGACTGAAAAATCTTCTTCAAGCACACAATGGCTTAATCCCAGCAGATTGATGTGGATGGAGCCTTTTTTATTTATTCAGGAAAAAATACTTTTTCTATTATATCAACATAGCTGTGGCCCTTTACATTCCTGTTTCATCCCCTGAGCATTTCAAAGTATTACCTATATTTTATGAGTGGTTTTAAGCTTCCGGCTACTTTTGAAACTTCACAAAAATCACTTGCCAGTTGCTAGCAAGCTAATAGACACCATTCTTCACAGTAGAAGCCTGGAAAATTTAGGTATTTTGCTTGAAACAAAGAGAGAGGTGGAAAAATACTTCCTTTTAAAATTTACTGAAAATAAATTTTCCTAAGCTTTTAAGCCTAGCAGGATTTCATCCGATAACAGTCTACAGAATTCCTCTGGGCAATATGCATAGGAATAATACATCAAGTTAGAAGCAGTGGTACTTGCAAGAAAAGATGAAGTGTAGTAAGTAGCACTTGTCAGAAATAAACTGCACGCCAATTCATTAAAGGAAGAGCATTTCTGGCACTGGTCCTAGAGCTGCATTCTAACATTGTTATAGGGTTGGAGCATCATAAAAATCCACTTTTTCCACCACCACCGCTGTGCAGCCTGCTTGGCAAGTGTAAGGGACACTGAAGTGCCAACTCCATAGCTCATATTGTTCCTCAGCAGCTTGTCTCTCCAGGGCTTCCCAGATTCTCGCTCTCGATCCAATCAACTGAGAAACTCTGAGGATAGGGCTTGAAAGCGTGGAACCATTGGAGTTTCCAAGACCATGATTCCACTCTAACCAGCATCAACCTCTCTGAAGGACCCCATCCAGTACTCTGCTCTTTTCTGTGAGAGGAGGTATGACACCACTGTGGCCAGGCAGAGTGCTAGGTTTTAATCCAAAGGAAACAAAATGTGAAATCCCAAATACATCACAAAATAGTGACCTCCCTGTGCCACCCCAGGTGAGGCTTTTCTGAAACGTTGGAAGGGATGTACATATTTTGAGCAGTTGCTGCCAGTTTCTTTATATGGTATGAAGTTCACTGCTCTGCCAAGGATTTCAGTTTTCTCCAATAAATGGTGCTATATTGTATCAATAAATCATACTAATCATCATAAAAAAGATTTACAACTGCCACTCTGTGACACATCATAAACTTTCTACCAGCTTCAAAGGCAGGGAGAAAAATTTCACACCAGTCAGGTGGCCCCTTCGCAGATGTACTGCAGGAAAAAACACTCACCATGCACATTTTAGCATCTACTTGTTTGTGGAGCTTGCAGGGACACAGCATCTGGGGAGCAGCTTGACGGAGGCAGAGATCCATCAACTGGTTCATTGCAAGAGGTACAGCTGAGTGACAAGACAGCAGACTGGCAGCGTACACAAGACACAGCTGTACCACTCCTCTGGACAATGTCTTAACACAGAAAGTGACTGTTCCCACCTCCTCTGCACTTTCCCCTCACTCTTCCTCAACTAAAAGAAACTCATTCGAAGTCACAACTCTGTTGCTGAGATCTGGTAACTACTTTTTAAAAAAAAAAAAAACAACACAACTTTTTAATGTTTTATTTTCAGGATGAGTTTAACAAGTAAGAACTCTGCTACACATTTAACTGAAACAGCAACAAATATAAAGCCTGGTGTGAATGACTCAACACTGACTGGGAGGCTTAATAAATATTTATGCCTTTAATTCAATAAATTAAAGTAAAATGTAAATTGATTTATACATCCAGATGCTTGGATTTCTTTAAATATGCAGCCACATAAAACATCTCTTCTTCCACATAAAAAATTCAATACAATAAACTGATTATTTAACACCAGTCCATATGTTAATTAAAAATACAAGAAGCCTAGATTAGTATTAGAAAATCCCAGTGCTTGAAAACCCTGCACTTAACTTAAAACACCTTTGCTGAACAACAACAAACCACTTCTAATATTCAAAACACAGCAAGAATTAACAAAGTCAAGTTGTAGGCTTCTGTTAATTGGGATCATGTTGCTTGCCATCAATAAACTTCAGTAACTTGGACACCTTCACACAAAGCACTGTCACATCTTAGCTAAACAGAGCTGACCTGAAGCTCTAGATGAGGGATCATGCTCCCAGCGAGCATGATCACTGACTGAAATGCAGAAATCACCTTCTTAAAAATAGCCAGAACTTAGTATTTTAAAAGTCAAGATGGGTGGCCCAATCTCATCCCTTGTGTACATCCACACACCTGAGAAGTGGCCAGGGAAATATTAACATGCATGCAAACATTTTTCAGAACATAGAAGTAAAAAAGGCAGCACATACTGTTGCTTAACGTATTAGCATTTAGCCTATTTATAACCAATTGCACCATGTTACCATTCAGTATATTAATACTTAAAGTGAAGAGAAAAAAAAGATTACTAACCTGTGGGAAAAGAGAGTAAGTTGCATTGTCAATAGTGACAGAATATAAAAATTCCCCATCAAACCAGAGATTCTTTCCCATCGGGGAGTTCAGCTTTGTCATAGCAAAGAGCTGCCCAGGGTCACAGCATTCTTCCAGCAGTTTCCTAGTGAAGGCAACCAAAAGAGAAAGAGCCATATTAATTAGAGCCTTTAATGCCTTCTCTAACGACCACCCTTCACACCTGAAATCCTGCCACTCTCAGATGCTCCAAAGCAAGTCATTCATCTTCCCAGCCTGGAGATGAACCATGGGTGACTCTTTTTCTTTACTTACAGAAGGGCCAGAAAACCTCACTTCATTTCAGAAAATCTTAGAAATAGACAGTAAAAAATTTAAACCTCTGTCCCTTTTGAGTGGCATGGAAATAGAACCAAGATTCAGCAAAAGAAACTCCATCCCTTACAACCCATTATAATTAAAAAAAAAACCCACTGGTCTCGAACACATACAGAAATCAGAAAAGCGCCTTTGAAAACTAAATCTGAGGTATATGAAAATTCAGCACCAAACGTTATTTGTGAAGAGCAAGCCTCCTAAAGCCCCCCAGTTACATAACAAGTATGGAAAAATTTGGCATCTCTCTCCAGTTACTAAATATTCCAGTGTTACATTCACAGAAGTATTAGTCTGCCTTCTAACGGAAGCCCAACTTGAGTCATTTCAGTATGATTACGTATACATAGTGGATATTATACTTCTTGTTTCCTCGCTGAAACCGCATATCCTCTTACATATTCATTTCCCCAGAATACTTATTACTCAGCTTAGGTAGAAACTGGAGATCTGATAAGGTGGCTGGAGGTTGTACTGAGCAAAAATTCTGGATCACAGCAAACCCAGCAATTAATATCCTAAAATACAGAATGATAAAAAGTTCTATCCTATCTTTCCAAAGCCCAATGGAAATAGCTCTCTATAGGGAGGGTGCCACTTATACTAGTTTTTATATGTAATAGATATCACATATGTAATATGTAAAATATACATTGCAGAATTATGCCATTAGAGTAATTAATATTATTATATACATTTCTCATTTATTTTAAAGGGAATCCTAAAGAGACTGATGACATTTCCAGTGGCTGCATAAGAATTGCAAGTGGCAGGCAGAAACATCAGTTATTAGTGACTACTAAAATGCTGATATAGCTGTTCTCCTCTGTGAAAGAAGAGATACTATGAAGTCATTCACAGAAATGTTTACAATTTTTAAGCTACTTTTCTTCTCAAAATTTGGATAATTTTTTAAAATCAGTTTTTTCTCCTATCAAAAACTGATTTTGCCATAACTTAATAGTTTTCTCCAACTGTATGAATACTATTTTCCATCTATACTTCAACTGAAAATTTAATGAAAACCATAGAGTGGATTTGTTGTAATCTTAGCAGAAGAGGAAACAGCCTGAAAATGTAGCATGGTAAACAGAAAACCTAATGGTGTCAGTGCTATTTGTTAGCTTTCCCTGCTGGGGAACTTCCCATTTGTCCTGGCTCAGCTTCAGCGCAGTCTTGCCCTCACTGATACCCTGGGTCCCTGGGACACTTCCTCACAAAGAGGAAGGCTCTCAAGGGACAGCAAGGATGCAAGCACGGGGAAGCTGGATTGAGGGCAGGAGGTCCTCTCCTCTCCTAAAACAGGTACCTGACAGTAGCCCTTGCACATGATGTGTAGGCAGATTAAACTGTTAAAAAGAAGCAAATTACACAAGGTAACTGGGTATCACATTTTGTTGTAAGTTAAGTCAGCTTCTACAAAGAGTCACAAGGTAAACTCTCCCCCTATAATAGGCTGTCCCCATGGGCAGCCAAAGAGGTGACTGATGTTTATGAAGACTCAATCAGAAGATTGTGACAGGGTACTTCATGGCTCAAAATTTCAATATTTGACCACACAGTGCTGCACTGCAAAGCATGAGGCTCCACCACATATCCAGACCTTACATTGTGAGGGTACTGGGCTGACAACCACAGAGCATCCTGCTGCTCAGACTGAAGTGCTACAAGCACTAACTTGTTTCCGTATGTTTTCTCCATACACACCTCAGCTCCTCCATTGGTATAATTAAGTATTTCAGAAAAGTTGTAAATCACTGTGCTCCAGTGCGTAAGTCAACCCCAAATTAGTGAAGTTTAGGACAAAACTGTGTCCAGTTCTAGACCCCACAATTCAGGAAAGATGTAGGCAGACTGAAGAGAGTCCAAAGGAGGGCCACAACAATGATCAAAGGCCTAGAAAACCTGCCCTATGAGGAAAGACTTAAGAAGTTAAGTAATTTCTCCCTGGAGAAGACAAGACTCAGGGGGGACCACACCACAGTTTCCCAGTACAAAGAGGATGAAGGCTCTCTCTTCACAAGGAGCCACATGGAGAAGAGAAGGGGCAATGGATTCAAGTTACACTGGGAGAGGTCTCATATTGATATAAGAAAGAAATTTTTTACAGTGACAGCAATCATTTGCTGGAACAACTTCCCCAGGGACATGATGGAGTCCCCATCACTGAAGGTTTTCAAGACGCAACTGGATCTCATCTAGGCTCCATTTCTCATGAAAGGCTGGACCAAGTGATCGTTCAAGGTCCCTTCCCACCTTAGCCAGTATGTAATTATGGAACTGTTTTTCCTTAGACTGCCCTTAGCAGAGCTGGTTTGTCTCCCCCTGAGCAGAACAGAACAATGTGTTAGCCAGAGCAGCAATTTCCATTCCTAGAAACACCAGTGGGTCTATCTATACCCACCACAGACAGACTTCACATCATCCTCCTGCCGATTCCCAAATAAAGCCTTCATCACAGAACTGTGAAAATCAGACTAGAGGACATTTGAAATCTCTTGGCAAATAACCTTTGCAAAACAGTTTAGGACAGGCATGGAATATTGTTCCAAATAAAAGATTTCAGCGTGGAGATTTTTCTGGCTGTCTGCAAACTCCAGCTTGCAGCCTTTGGAAAATTGTTCCTCTCTCTGTCAAGTGGAAAGAAAATAATCTTTGCCTATCTTTGCCCTCCTGTTCTTTGTATATTCTATCCCCACAGCAACTTTTTCAAGAAAGCATAAGCTAATCCAAGATCAGCCAGGGCCTCAACTCTACATATAGTTGTTTGTTATACAACTGCATAACAAATCAAAATTTCCAAGTGAAATTCTGCAACTCATACCTTTTCTGGAAGTCTGGTCTGTGCAAGAAGCACAAAAATAACAGATAACTCAGTTGAAAAGTATCTAGGGAATGTTTCATAGCAATGAACCTTTCCTTAGCCATGGTAAACTGATGAGCTAAAGAACAGCTCTTTGTACAATTCCTCCCTACTTCCCATCTATTAGACTATATATATATAACCTCCTCTTTCCCCTCTCCAAAAATGCATTCTTCCAGACACATTAAAACATTTAATAAACCTATTATGAAAAGCAGTAGATGCTTCCTGGAAGGTCCAGGTAGGCAGGCCACTAGTTCAAGTATGCAATCCTTATGTATTAGCACAAAAATCTTGCAGATTTGTATGTGCTTTCTGTCAGAAATGAATAATAATTAAAACCCTCACATTATTCAATCTCTCCTTCTTGATCCAAATCCCAAAACTACGAAGTGAGAAAAGGTCCATAGGAAAATGTGCATTAAAAAGCAGAACAGATTCAAAGGTAAACCTAAAGCAGGGTACTTTGCAGGATCAGGGAATCTGAACTGATTTGCTGAGCTCGATTAAAATGTATAGCTAAAATGTTATTTTAAAATTTGCAAAACTGCAGCAGCTTTCAGCCAAGGATTTCAATTCACTGCAAGCAATCCTTCACTCACAGGACATAAATAATATACCTTTGACTCAGTTACCTCCAATTCAGAGAAGACCCGTGTATGAGAGGAATTAAACAACTTGAATATTGGTATTGAAAAGACACTGGGGGCCCTCAGATCTGAGATTACTTAAGGGACAAATCCCCACCTGTGAGAGAAGCAGGAGAAAAGTTACTTCGAGAATCTCACTTCAGGCCTCTGAAATGTCAGACGGAACTGGGCACAAGCAGGTCGTTAACTACAAGGCAGCATGAGGTGGCTGTGCACCTCAACTCAAGGAGCAACCTATGCACAAGGAGGGAGCTGAGCAGCAGTTTTGAGAGGTTAGCCCTATCCCCACGGGATACTTTGCTGAGGTTATACCAGCAGGCATTGCACACTGAAAGAAGCAGAGTGAAATAGTTGGTGCCAAGGATCCTACATCCACATTACCTTATTTTCATGGGATAACTCTGGTCTGATTCCACAAACAGCCTGTAGCACACTGAGTGCATTACTGAAGTGCTGTAACTGGGGACAAGTCAGGAGACTTGCCTCAAAAGCCCACTTCTGACAAAAGAGGTAATACAGTTGCACCCTCCTGCACCTAAAAGCAGAGAGGAAGCCAGACCTTCTTTCAAAGTCTAAACCTAAATTCATACATAAAGTCAGTGAAACAGCTTGCATAAATATCCCAAACTATGTATTCTTCATCTTAAATTAATGAACCTTTGATTTCAGTTTGCTGCCAGTTAATGCTTAATCTGACCCTAGTTTGATTCAAGCCAATAATGACTCAGTAGCTAGTTCCAACATCCCAAATGGCTTAAAACCAGCAAATATAAAATCTAAACACAGAAATGGGCAATTCCACAGCATGGGTTGTCAGCCAGGAGGTTAAAGGCCTTTAGCTATCTCTTCGCCACGGGTGGAGCAGATTCTGCCTCCCCAGCACATCACTACTTCTCCAGCTCTTTGCCATGCCTGCCTTGTGATGTTGCGCTACATGAAGCACATAAGCACTGTCAGTGTTGTGCAAGGGAGGGGGAGCAAAATTCTTCCTCTCAAATTTTTCCTTTTAATCACATGCAAGGGGGATACCTCAATGAGGAAAAGATCAGGTTGATGGGGAGCCACTTGTCAGGCAGCAGGGCAGCTTCACAAAGGAGGACTGAAGGCTTAAGCCTCATCTTAAACGGAGCAATGCATAGAGGGTGCAAGGTATGGCACATCATATGGACTGTGGCGGTAAGAGTCCCAAGTGAGGCTGGTCAGGGCTATTAAGGCTTACTGGTGCCCTGACATTGGTAACACTACCAACACTCCTTTTTCTCACTCAAGAGGATAGAAATTTTATAGCAAATCACAGACACACATTTGTTGCACCTTGCACTGAACAGGACCCCGTCCAGGTCTGCAGAGCAGTGTCCTATGAAGGATTATGCTGCATGCATGGCGGAGGGGGTAGGACAATGGAGGCTACAGCTAGATGCTCCTCTGCAGGTCCCAGCAAGCACCAGAAGTCCCCATGCTGAAAAAGGGCATCGATTCAACCATCTCTCAAAAATGGTAACATGAAACTTACTATCACTGTTTCATTACAGTTTAGCTTTAACGGCAACATTAAAATAACAACTGAGGTTCAGGTTCAAGTTTTAGAAAAATAACTAGTTAAACAATTTGCTTTAGTCAGACTCTGCTCAGCTGCCTGGATTTAGCTGGTATCATGCTAGCCTATGTCCAGCGACCACAAAACAGAGACAAGAGCTGACAGCACAAGACTGCAGCATTTGGTCTGACATAAACCTCCTTTTCTTTACATTGCAGTTCACATTCACCTCAACTTCCCATGTTTTGCTTTGGGATCAAATGAATCAGAACACCCAGAGAAAAAACTGAATCTGCCTTTGGAGTTTCAGCTGGTGTCAAGACAAAACCATCAGGCCTTCTTTCACAACCAGGGATCTGTGGCACTGCTGAAATCCAGAGTATAGGTGGTTGCTTGGGTTCATTACGGAAGGTATGCACAGCTCCATTTCAGTACAACTGCTTAATTGTTTGAATCTACACATCGCCCAGTAGAGGTAGGAGGACCTACTGATAGCCTCACGGACTCCTCAACTAAATCAACACCTATCTCCCAGCACATGCACACTTAAGAGATCCTGGGCTAACAACCCTATTGGAACTATTATACTTGATAAGGCTGAAGCCAGTTTTGTTTCTGATGTGAAGGAGAAAGACCACGGGCTCTGTGATGCGTGACTTGGAGATAATTCAGTGTGTCCTTTAGCAAGTGGTGGTAGCAGAAAGGCAACAGCCTTTTCCATCCATCTCCCTAGAAAATTCATAGCAGTTACTTGTGTTCTACCCACAGCTTTGGTACATGGCCAGTTAGGTGTTTGAAGCAAGAGTTTGATGTGTGTGATAAGAGTTTCCTTACACTTGCTGTCTTCCGCCCTGCCTAAGGCAGGCTAGCATGCCTTGAACCCCTTGAATAGTAAGGTACTTTAAACACCATGGAAAACTCAAAGCCTCAGTGACTTCGTCGAGCTAACCCCCAGTGACAAGTATTATATTGAGCTCTTTGGGAAAGAGAAGTTCAATGTGTGTGACCAAACCCAATTAACGATGTTTTCACATACTCAGAAGCCAAATGCCAACTGGAGCTACAAGTTCATGCGACCACAGTGATTGTAACTGAATCAGTGATTTTACTGCTACTGAATGGCTTCTGTAGCTTTCTGTAGAACCATAAAATTCTCAGGCTGCCAGCTTGGAGCAAAAAATGACTACAAATATAGGCATTCATTTGCTAGGGCCTACCACTGGAGATGGGATATGGGGCTAGATTTTTCTTGGATGGTGATGGTCATTGGATAGATAAGTTCAGGATGTGACTAGGTGTGAACTTGCTCAGAATAATTCTTGATCTTCTGTATTTCTTTTAATTAGTGATCTGCAGGACATCATTAAAATATTGTTGATAAATTTTTCACATGAGAAAAGGAGCAGGGCCATAACTGATCCAGGGCACAGGCCCAGGACAGAGCAGCCTAGGTTTCGTGCTAAGCTTCCTAATTTTCAATACAGCCATACGTGAAATCTCACATTTCGCAAACCATAGTGCAGGTTGCAGTTACAGATGGATGTCCCTATCCTGGGAAGCACTGTCAGCAAAAAGAGTGCTAAATAGTTCATCAGTTAAATGTGCTTTGGCCTTGGACATGGAATGCATGGGTGAAAACAGAGAGGTCATTTTGTCCCTGTAGTTGGCAGGGTGTGACTACCCTAGAAATACCATTTCCAGGCTTGGAATATTTAGAGGTGGATTTTGAAAAAGAAAGAATAGCCATAGGAATGACAGAGGGAGTAAAAGACTGTTCAAAGCGAGAAATTCAGGAAACTCCAGCTTTCTGACTCATCAGAGGGAAGGCTGAAATTTAAGAAGACAGGGATCTCTTAAGGGAGGGGGGGAGAAATAATTTAAAAAATCAACCAAAACCTGAAGTTCCAAAATTTCAAATTCTAAACTGAGTGTAAATTTATTAAAAGCAAGGTTTTAGACATTAAGCAACAACTGTGGTTTCTCCCCTGCCACCAAAACTTCTTGCAAGAGCATGTGGCTGTATTATTCTTACAGAAACATCACGGTGAAGACCTAATTTAGAGAATTTCAGAAGTAGATTTTGAGAGTCATAGTGCTGGAGGTGGTCAGACTAGTTTTGTTTCAAAGCCATTATTGATATTAATCCCTAAAGTATTGGCTGTTCGGAAATTAATTGCCGATTTCAACGCGTATGTTTGAATAGCTCAGAATAAAATTTATTAATCGAAATAAAAACTATTAGAATCAACACATTTTTGCCAACGAGAAATAAGCATATTTTTTCCGGTTGCATAAAATTCTGGACTTCTGGAGGCAATGAAGTCATCAAAGGCAGTTTCGGCCTCCCCTTGGTTTCTGAAGCTTCTCCTGCACAGGAAGCTGTCGAGACGCTTGAAGAAGTGATAGTCGGTGGGCGAGAGGTCTGGTGAGTATGGTGGATGAGGCAGAGTTTCATAGCCCAGCTTGTTCAACCGTTGCAGCATTGAAAATGCAACGTGGCCGTGCGTTATCGTGGAGGATTGAACCCTTTCTGTTGACCAGTGCTGGGTGCAGCTGTTGAAGTTTCTAGTGCATTTCATTATGAGATTTGCTGGACATACTTCGCCGCTGTGATCATTTTACCCGGATTCAGGAAGCTGTGATGGATTAAACCAGCAGCAGACCACCAGACAGTCAGCATGCCCTTCTTTTGGTGCAGATTGGGCTCTGGGAAGTGCTGTGGAGCTTCATCGCGGTCCAACCGCTGAGCCGATCATCCCCGGTTATCGTAGAGCATCCATTCCTCAACGCACATAACAATACAGTTGAGAAACGGGTTGTTCTGGTTGCGAAAAAGAAGTGACGACGACACTTCAAAACAGCAATTTCTGTGATTCTCATTCAATTTGTGCGGCACCCATTTGTCGAGCTTCTTTGACTTTCCAATCTTCTTCAGATGCTCAGAAACAGTTGATATGCTTACCCCGAGTTCTTTTGCAAGTTCTCGAACAGTTGTGCATGTATTTGCTTCCACCAGAGCCTTCAATTAATCGTCTTCAATAGCAGAAGGATGTCCACAACCATCTTGATCTTCAAGGTTGAAATCGCCACATCAAAATTTTTGGAACCAAAGTCGCACTGTCCGTTCATTAACACTTTCCTGGGCATATACCTCATTGATGTTTCAAGCAGCTTGCGCTGCATTACATCCAAGTTTGAACTTGTAGAAGTAGATCCGTCGAAATTGTTGTTTTGACATCTGAACTTCAAACCTCCAAGAATTGTCAAAAACACTGTTTATATTATAATTTAATTATACAGCATGAAAGTTCATAACATGAGCTTTTCAAAAATATATAACAGTCGAGAAGGTACTATTCCTGAAACATATACAATGAAAATCACATTACAAAACGGAAATTAATTTCCGAACAGCCTATATTTTGGCACCCCACCTCTCTATAGCAGACTCCACCACACCTGAGATGCAATCTAAACTACCTTCGGCACAACTATTCAGGAATATGATTCTAAAATTGCCCTAAGAACATCATGGACACGTACCAAAAGAATATGAGAACAGCCAATGCAAATGCTCTTGATAGTCACAAAAGCATACCAAATTGGTTTTTTGGGAAAGCAGTACCAATTTAAGCCCTATCTAAAATTAAGACCTTTGCCAAAAAAACTAAATCAAGAAAACCCCATTCTGCACAGGTTCATTTCTGAAAATCCTCCAGTTACCTAAGCTTGAAGAATAGGTCTAAATGCAATGAAAAAGAAATATGAACAAGAGTGGACACCACAGAGCAGAACAGAGAGATAATCTGATCTACCTCCCAGACCAGCTTTCTGCAATATGGTAAGATTTTATGAAGAGTAAAGTCATGACAGTTCTTCTCCTCACATTTATTATTATATTGCTTCTTATTATGAAACTTTCAGCCTATTTCAGATGTCCCCTGCAGCAATTCCTCCTATCTGGACTTTATGAGGATCATGTCATATTTCCCCCATCTTCCTCAAGAGAGGAAAGATGTCAGGACAATAAAAAGGTCACAGGCAGAAGCAAATCATGTACTGACTGCCCAGCACTGCAACTTGCATGAAAGGTAAGAGGTTGCAGAGATCATAGATACTTCTCAGAATAAAGACACTTCATGAAAACTACCTTCATTAGCTTTGCTGTATGTGACATTTTAAAGTGAGTAAGAAATTTTAACTATGAACTGCTGGATAATTGGCTATAAATTGCCAAATTAATACTGGGGCTGGGGGGGTGGGGGGTGGAATTATGAAATCAAGCACTTTCATGTTTTCTGCATCATCAGCACCTTTTCCTTAGAACCTTCTTTCAGGTCTTTTTGAGGTGCCCAAAAAGGAAACAAAGTACTTTATCGTATCTTTGGGTTTTCACTATTTATTTTTAAATCACTGAACAAAACATTTGGTGCCACCCATGCAGTATAGTTAGCAGTTCTGTTTTCCAGACTGCAAAAGAAACATAAAACAGTTTTTTAATCCTGCATGTTGGACCACCCTATCCTTGCTACCCTGACCCAGTACAAACCCTGCTGCTTTGCAGTAGGGAAAATCTGAGCTGTCAACCATTGCAGCACATCATCCTAATCTGTGACTGATTTTGTCCAACTTCTTTTTTTTGAAAGATATCTTTTTTCCCAGAAATGTTCAAGTATCATAGAAAATGTGGGTTTTTTCTCTACTTTCCTTCCAAACAAAGATAGACGTTGTGCTTAAAATTTCAAGGGTCTTAAGTCTTTTATCCATTTTCAGAAGACAGCAGTAGCAACAGTATTATTTGGTGCACCCTGTAATTCCCCAAACTTGCCTAAAGTTCTCTCAGAACTAAACTGTGGCTCAGCTCAACCTCTGAAACTTCAGATGATTTTGTATTCTTTATCATATTCTCCTTTGAATTTAAAAACAAATTTCAGATAATGTGATAAAGATACACAGTTACTTTAGTTGATTACATATTCTCTCTCTCATCAAACCCCTGCATTTTAAGAAAAGTAATTGAAAGGATATATTTTTCAACCACTGTAAACAAACATGATCATTCTCTTAATAGCATCACATCAATTTATTCCACACCTTCATTAATATTGCAAGTGCAAAGGAGGACTGAACTGTGCAACATTAAGTTGCAGAAGTACAGATGAGACTAAAATTTGTCAGGGATTATCTTTGTTACTGAACAATGTTCATGAACTAGAAGAAACCAGGGTATTTCTCAGTGAATAGAAGTCTATCTGAACATCTGACAAGCCTTAAGTTTACCTTTCCCCTTGCCAATTCTTTTACTTACAAACTGAGCAGATTTGATCTGGAAAGCTATTTAAACACAGAACTGTTAGCCTCTTTTCAGAGAAAATAGATTTTGGTTCATGCAAACTTGCTTCTAACTGCTATGCACAAAGTCTGCTTATAAACTCTGAAACACAAATTATAGAGTATGAATTATAGAGTATGAATTATAGTATTCAGTCAGATGAAGTTTTTCTGAGACTCTCATACCAGATGTATAGCTATATATAAGGAAACCTCCATAAGTTGTGACTTGCAATAGCAAAAGCAAGCACCGTAGTGCTGCTTTATTACTCATGCAGTAAAATCTACTAGAACACAGGATGCCTTCCAGTTGTCTGTATTGTTCCCAATGAAATCCCAATCACATCCAGAAAAGACAGAATCAGTGACTTGTCCTCTCACCTAGGAACTGCAACGAACAGCCACATTCCCTTGAGAAGTGATGAATCTGAGCATGAGCTGATCATTTCTGGGCAGTGGCAAGCAATTAAAGAGAAATGACCTCACATGATACTGGAATTCACTGGCACTGTACCAGACCCCTCCTTTGCTTTGCTAATGCCATCATCACCAGCTCCTAAATACAACAACTGTGTTTGAGGGCCCATCCCGGGGAAGAAACAGGGTTCATCTCACTTAATTTACAATATTTGAAATGTAAACACCTCTACCCAAGTCAGTCTGAGGCATATCATAGCCGAGATAGCTTCTTTTAGGGTGAGATTCATCTCAATCTAAACACCTACTTCCTCTCCAGTGGTCATAAAGAGACCGACTACCTTAGATGGAGACATCTATGTTTGGTAGTTGAATTCCAGACCTGCTGCTTCAGACCCTACAAAGCCTGTCAAGGCTTCTGCATTTAACACAAGCTGCAAGGGAGAGACTGTAGGTCTTCTGCATGTCTACAGCATCTCACAGAAGAATCCTATTTGCCAGCAGCATCACCTAATGGTCTCCCTCACAGTGAGCAGTAGAAAGATGAGATGGCACAACTGCATGAGCTGGTAGTTTTGTCAGAGAGAATTCAGAAGCAAAGGGGAGCAGGGAAAGGGGAATAGATTAATTGCTTCACGCGCTATTCTTTTTTTTTTTTTTAATCTTATAAACCTGGCAGGAGGAGAGCAGCTTTCACAGAGATGAGGTGAAATTAATGAATTGCTGTCTTGCAAAACAGCAGAACCATCAACCGAGACAGAAAGTTACAATACACTATGGTGCTGCTGCAGTGAGGGAAATGAGTTGTTCTTACCACTTCCCTCATTCCTTTCAGCAAAATTGCTGCTTGCTTTGTGCCACTACAAGCACAAGGAAATAGCTTCAACAAGGGCACAGCACAGCTGTATTCTTCCAGGAGAAGGAGATTCACTAAAAATAAATTGAGCAGCTCTAATCTTACATTTGAGCTTGTACTATCTAGAGTAATGATACACACCACCTATATCTAAGCAGTCAATTATCACACTATAGTGACTTTTTCACCTGCTTCTGCAACCCAAATAAAAGCCCTGTAGGTATTATATAACGCTCCTCACAGAAGTGCCTCCACGATCCAATCCAAGAAAATCCATTAGGAGCTTTTTACTAATTTGATCAATTAAAGTCATGCCCCTCCAGAGAAGGTAAAATGGCCAGGAAAAAAAAAAAATTTCCTCTATTAAACAGATT